AAATAAAAATATTTAAATATAAATATATATATATATATTATATATATATATATATAATTTTTTTTTTTTTTATTATTCATTTTTTTTTTATATTTTTATTAGTGATATAAATAGACTAGGATTAATTCATTTAAGACATTTTTTAAGTGAATTAAATAATTTAAGACATCTTTATGTCAAGATAAAGTTATTATAATATTTTATTTTAGAAAAAAATTATAAATTTTTTTTTTAAAATTTTTATCTAAAAATAGAGGATTTATTACTGGTACAATTTAAACTTTTTTAGAATTTTAAATGATTTTTGAAAACACATTAAGATTAAATTATTTAACCGACATTTAATTTATTATGTAATTTTATCTTTTTTATATATTTTTTTTTAATTTTTTATAAAATATAGTTAATATTCATTCTTAAGTGTTGAATAAATTGATTTCAATTTATAATAAATTTAAGATATATAAACATATGTTTAAAATACAAATCCTTAAATATTTTTAAGATTATAATAATTATAATAACATTAACAAAATTTATAGTAATAAAATTAATAACAGTAATTAACAAATTAAGAGATGGAAGAATTAAATCAAATATAAGACTTTCTTGATTAATAAGAGGAAAATAGGAAAAAATAAATATATGATTAAGCTACATAGTTAATGGTTTAGAGCTATAATAAAACATTAAATTAAGTTTTAAAAAGAAGAATTTTAATAATATAATGTTTCCTTGCCAAACATTAATTAAAATCTAAAATGAGAAAAGATTATGTATTAGAAATTATAAGAACATAACTCGTTTGATGTTTATAAATTAAAAAGAATAGAAATATATATTTTTATATACAATAAATATTTAAATATATAAAAATTAAAAAAATATATAATTAATATTTTAAAATATTTTTATGTATTTATTATAAAATTCTAATTATTTATAAATATAAATGATTTTTCTCAATGTAATATTATTTATTTTAATATATAAATTTTTATTTGTTTATATATTTACTAAAAATAAATAAACAAACAAAATTATGGGTGGATTATGTTTATAATTTCATATAAATATACTTTTTATTTATATTTAAATATTCATTTAATATAAAATTCTATTTATATAAATATATAATCATATTTAATATCTAGCTAATTATAGTTTGTTTTATTTTTTATTTTTATACACGAAATTTTACCCCTTTTTAAAAAAATTAAAGTTATTTTAGATTTATTTATTCAAATAAAAAATTTGATTTAAAATATATAAAATTTTTGATATATTTTCATATTTCTTTTTTATAATATTATCTATATATTTAATTAGTGTTTATTAAATAGAAAAGTAATAAATTTTTTTAATATAATATATATATAAAAAAAAAATAACTTCAATAAAAAATAAAATAAAAAGCAATAAAGTTAATACTTATAAAAAATTAAAAAAATCAAATAATAAATAAAAAATTAAATTAATTAAAATTAAGAAATAAAAGAAATGTCATCAATATAAGAAATCAAAGAAGAAAAAGAAGCTGAATTTTATGTTATGGAAGGTAAAAAGCCATTTTTAGATTAAAAAAATAAAAAATAAAATATTTGAATGATTACTTATTCTAAAAACATTATTTTTCTTTAAAAAAATAAAAATCAACTTTATTAATTAAATTTTTAATTAAAAAATAAAATAAAGCTGTTGAATTAACAAGTGAAAGTGAACCTGAAGATTTAGAAGGTATTTCTGAAATAGATGATATAAAAGTAGATGATTAAGATATTGATGATTTAGATAAATTAGTAGCAACAACAAAAAGTTTTTATTTATTTTTTAAAAATAATAAATTCTTTATTTTTTTTTTTAAATAATAATAATAAAAAAAAATATATATAGAAGAAGAATTGCCTTAACCAAAAGAAGATTAAAAACCGATTTCTTAAACAGTAAAAAGACTGGAAGTAGTAGATGATTTTATAAGAAACTTTTTAATAAAGCATAAAATGACTCGTTCATTGGAAATATTTTAAGTATTAAAAAATATTATTAATTTTTTTATTTTTTAAAAAAAAAATAGTAAGAATGGTATGAATTGAGTTAAAAAGGGAGATTAACAAATGATACCATTAAATAAGTTCCAGATGTTTATATAAGAAATGAAAAATTGGAAGATGAAATGGATTTTTTAAGAAATGAATTAGATAAAGCTAAAATAATTGCTGAAAAAGCTAAGTAAATTAAACAAAACAAAAAAATATATATATATAAATAATAAAGAGCTACATATGATAAATTACGAAAAGAAAGAGATTTCCATAAAATGCATCATCATAGAGTATAATAAGAAAAAAAGAAATTAAATAATGATATAGAAAAATTAAAAGCTTTACATTAATAATATGAAAAAAACTACGAAATATTATCTGAAAAATACGCACATGCGATGAAAGAAAAAATGCTTTTAAAATTAGAAAGAGATAGATTAACAGCTAAAAATGAAGCACTTTAAAAAAGCTTATAAAATGTAAAAAAAACAAAACAAAAAAAACTAGTAAATATATATCTAAAAAAAAAAAAAGATTGAAGATAAAATGGGAAAGGAAGTCACTGGTTAAATTTAAGGAAATACTGGAAACGATAATTTGCCAAGATTGAATGATACAAATAAATAATTACAAGAAAATAAAAAAACAAGCCCAAGAATGCAAAAAAAAAATAAGAAAGATTTTACACCAATGCCAAATGATAATCGACCAAATCCTTATGCTGGAATAAATTTCGATACAAATTAGTATAGAAATGCTGTTTTGTAAAAAACTTTTAAATCTCATATGATGTCTATATCTGCAGTTGCAATGCATCCTAAAAAATCTATATGTGCTACTGCATCTGATGATTTTACATGGAAAGTATACTTTATTTAATATAAAATAAATATTATATTATATATATAAATATAATATAACTATATTATTATATTTATATATATTTATATTTCTATTTATATATATATTTTTTTTAATATACATATTTATATTATTATATATATTCATATCTTTTTAAGATTTTAACTGTACCTTAAGGAGATCTTATTATGAGTGGAGAAGGACATAGAGATTGGGTTTCAGGAATAGCATTTCATCCTAAAGGGTCTCATTTAGTTACTTCTAGTGGTGATTGTACTATTAAGGTATGGGATTTTATTAATGCTTCATGTACTCATACTTTTAAAGATCATATTTAACCTGTTTGGGATGTTGATTTTCATGATACAGGTGATTTCTTAGTAAGTGCATCAATGGATCACACAGCAAAGTTGTTTGATTTGGGGTGTGGAAAAAGAAGGCAAACTTTTAAAGGACATAAAGATTCAGTAAATTGTGTAAAGTTTTAACCGTTTTCGAATATATTAGCAACTGGAAGTGCTGATTAAACTATTTCTTTATGGGATATGAGAAGTGGCTTATGTGCATAAACTTTCTATGGCCATAGAATTACGGTTAATTCATTAGATTTTACATTAAAGGTATTAAAAAATATATTTTATATTATATAAATTTAATTAAACATTATATATATAGGGAGATGTTCTTGTTTCTTGTGATTGTGATGGTATTATTAAAGTATGGGATGTTAGAATGGTTAAAGAAAAGTATCTTATATATAGTTTTTATTCTTTTTGTATTATATTTTTTTTTTTTTCAAGAAATTAATATTTGAATGGAAAATATAGTGCTAATTCTGTTTGTTTTGATAAGAGTGGTGTTATTATAGCTTGTGCAGATGACGAAGGAACTATAAAATTATATAATGAAAGTACTGGAAAACTTGAACATACATTAAAAGGACATGAAGATGCTGTATAAGATGTTAAATTTGATTTTAATTCAAAAATGATTGTATCAGTTGGTTCTGATTCAACATTAAGAGTTTGGTAGTGAATTAAATATTTTATATTAATTTAAATTTATAATAATCTTTATTTATGAATTTCTATTATAGATTAGAATTATTTTTTTGTTTATAAAAAATTAATATAAAAATTATGTTATTGTATTAATATTAAATACTTATTAAAAAGATATATTTTAATTATAAAAATTTTATGAAAAAAAATTTAATTTATTTAAATAATGCATTTAAAAATAAAAATTAAAAATTAAAAAAAATATTGTTTTTTGATAGCTTACTTATTAAAAACACAAATATATATATATATATATAAATATATATATATATATTTATATATAAATATTTAATATTTTAAAGAAACTAATCTTTAAATATAAAATAAAAGTTAAAGATTTACAATATTTAATGAAAGTTAAATTATTTTATTATTTAATTATTTAATTTAAGTTTTTAAAATTAAAAAATATTAATTTTTTTTTAAATATAAAATATAAAAATATTACTTTTTAAACAATAAATATTATTCAATATCATATATAAAATTATATGTAATAATATTCATTTTAAAATGATGTTCGTATAGCAATAGAAAGAGTTACATTTGCTTAGTAAAAGCTTATAAATTTTTTAAAAAATAATGAAAATATCAGTATTTCAAATAAGGAATACATGCAATGTTATGAGTAAATTATGATATTTTTTTTTCTATTCTAAAAAAACAAAAAAAGTATGATTTGTAGAATAAAATATTTTGAAAAAATGTTTGAATGGCTTTAGGATTAAATTTAGGATTATTTAGAGTAAAAATTAAATATATATATTAATATTTATTTTATATAAATATATTAATAATTTATAATTTTTTTTTTATTTTATTTAATCAATAAAAAATTATAAAAAGTGGTGTTTTTTAATCATCATTAAACGGTATAGAATAAGAAGAATATTTACAAGAATTAAAAATATAATGGGAGAACTTATAATTATATTTATATTGGCTTTGGTTTATTTTTAAGAAATTCGATAATACATATTAATAGTTGCGTTTAAAATCTTTATAAGGATTAACATTTACAATGTTAAGAGACAATATATTTTTAAAAAATAAAACTAAAGTAAATTCTATTTTGTTCCAATTTATAGATTTAAATAGATAAAATGAATTAGTCCCATTTACATTAGTGATTAAAATAATATAGGTAACAAAATAAATAAACCTATTTTATAAATAATATAGTATATAAATATAAATAAATATATAAATATATATTAATATATTTTATATTTATATATATATATATAAAATTGTATTATATAGTATTTAGTAGAATTGGGTATAGGTGAAAAAGTTGAACTTTTCAAATTTAGAAATGATTAGGGCTTTTAAATTTTTTAATACATATCTAAAAGTAAAAGCGAGTAAGATATATCATATTATTAAACACATTTTGAATCCGAATTAATTTAATAAACACAAAAATACTGGGAAAAATAAAGTTTATAATGGTTAGAAGATTTATCTGTACCTGAATATGTTAAAAATGTTAATATGGCTTTAGAATAAGAAAAAGAAAGATGCTAATAGGCGTTTTCCTGGAGCTATAATTTATATATGGATACATGTGAAAATATTTTAATTTCCAAAAGTTGTAAAAGTTTGATTAGTAATTAATATAGTGGATTATCAAATATGATTAATTGTGATAAGTTTTAAGAAATATAAGATTTATTTGAACTTTTAAGTAGAAGAAAATAAGATAATATTGATATTATTGCAGATTAATTAAAATAATATATAATTTAAATAGGATATTAAATAAATACAAACGAATCATTAATAAAAGATCCTAAAGGTTTAGTTTTTTATATTATATTTTATTAATATTTAATATTAATAAATAAGAATATATAAAAGAAATAATAAAATTCTATAAAAAAATTGATTTAATAGTACAGAATTATTTAAATAGAGAATAGGAAATATAATTAGCACGTTCAAGAGGATTTTAAGATTTTTTAAATAAATTTGAAAAAGCAATTTTTTATTTAGCAAAGCATTGTGATTTTGAATTAAGAATAGGTTTATTTATATATATATATATATATATATATATATTATTTATATATATAATATGTAATTTATATATATTTATTTAAATTTAATTCTTAAAGGAATGAAAGGTAATTCTGAATAGGAAATAGAAGAAAAAATGTAGGATATAATCAATATATTATTATGTTTTTATTCTAGAGATGGCTTTATTTTACATTATTCGAGATTTTTATCAAATAGATTATTAACAGGAAGCTCTTTATCAGATGAAAATGAAAAAAGATTAATAACTTAAATAAAAAAAGAGATTGGAAAGTCTACTACCAATAAACTTACCGAAATGTGTACTGATATTTAAATATCGCAAACTATAATGGCCGAAATTAAAAAAAAAATGAGAGATTTAGACAGCTCTAAATGTAATGAAATTGATTGGAAAATTACTGTTTTAGCAAATGCACATTGGTAAATTTAACCAGAAACAGAAGTTTAGATCCCCTAAGAATTAAAATGGATATGTGAAAACTATATTAAGATATATCTAGATAAACATAAAGGGAGAAATATTAAATGGGCCTTTTCATAAGGGTCGGCTGAAATATATGGGAAATTCGATAAAAAATATACTCTAGACGTTACTAATTATTAATTACTGATTATTCTTTTATTTAATTACAAAGGTACATATACATTTAATGATATTATGATTTTAACTAAAATTCCTTTTTAAGAATTATAAATTTAATTAATTGCTTTATAAAAATTTAACTTGATTTTAAGAGAAAATGTATTTTTTTTAATAAGTTTTTAGTTTTATATTGTATATATTTTCATAATAAAAAGTAAGATATTGAAATTGGTGAATATGAAAATTTAAAAATTAATAATATTTTTGCACATAAATTATTTAAAATAAAAATGCATCCTACATAAGAATTAAGAAAAGTATTTTTTATTTTTATTTTTTTAAATAAGAAAAATATTTAAATTGTAAAATATACATTTTTAAAAAGACTCTTAAATAAGATAAAGGAAATTCATAATCATTGGATGATTAAATTGATATAGAACTTAAAAAAATAAGAGATAATCAATTAGACGCATGTATTGTTCGTATTATGAAATCAAGAAAACATTTAAAGTTAAATGAATTAAATTAAGAAGTTGTTAAATTAATGTCGCATATATTTAAACCTTAACCTTAATAAATAAAATAAAGAATTGAATCATTAATAGAAAGGGAATATTTAACAAGAAGTGACGAAGATAGGTTTATTTATTTTTAAAATAATAAAAAATATAAATTTTTAAATAACAAAAATAATAAGATAATCTTTTATATATAAACCTTGATAGAAAAAAAATGTACAATTCTATTTCATTTATAAACAAAAAGAAAAATAAAAAATAAATAAAAATAGATATGTCGAATGATTAAAATTAAAAAATTATTTGTTTATTTATAATTTTAAAAGAAAATAATATTTTATTTGATAAATATAATTTATTAAAATATAAAATATATATTAATATATTAAAATATTTAAATATTTATATATATATTAATATATCTAATTATATATTAAATTTTTTTTTAATATTTTATTATATATATTTATTTATTTATTTTTTATGTCAATTTTTAATCATTAAATATATATTAAATAATCAATTTTGTTTTTTATCTTATATATCACCATTATCAGATATTTCTTTATTATAATGTATTTTATAAACTTAAAAAAATAATTCACTAAAGCGTTTGTCAACATGCTAAAAAAATGAATCAAAATCTTTATAATCTTTTGAAAATATTAATTTGTCAATAAAATAACTTATAGTAGACCTATATATAAATATATATATATTTTTAATTAAAAAAATATTAATATATTCATTAATATATATAAAAATATCAATATAAATATGTATATATATAAATATATATTTATATAAATATAAATATATATATGTATTTTACCCTCTAGTAATAATGAATTTTTTTTCATTTATTAAATTTTCATTTCCCATACTTATTGCTATTTAAACAGGAAGTTATTTATCAAAAGCAAACTTTTTTAAAAATTAAATCAAAATTATAAAAAACATAAATATTTAATAAAAATAATATTAAAAATATAAATATAAAAATAAGATTATATAGAAATATAAATTTAAATAAAAATAAAATATACTCTTAACATTCCTTTTTTTAAAATACCAGGTTTAACTGAATTAAACATACGGTGTCCTTCTGGATAAACTAGCAAATTGTTTCTTTTAGATTTATTCCATTTATAATCTATCCATTAATAAAACCTTTTTTTGTAAAATTAAATATAATTTTTGTTTACTTTTTTTTTTTACTTTTCAAAATCTCGTTTTCCACCGTTTCCTCTATTGAAAAACCATAAGCTTTTCATTAAAGGTGAAATAAATAATGCGAATGGCATAACTAATGCAACCATATATCTTTTTTTCATATATATTTTTATATAATTTAACATATATATATTTTTAAAAAATATTACCTTGATAAAAAATTAGCTGAATAGTCTAAAATTTTATCGTGTACGAAAAAATCACTCCATGTTTTATGATTAAATAAAATAATTGTTTTTTTATCCTTACAAACATCACTTGAACCAGGTAATTTGTTTAAATTTACTTTTAAAAGATTACAAGTCATAGATGACCATCTTTCTTATGCCTTTGTCATTGTTTTTTATTAGATAATTGCTAAAATTGAAGCAAAAAATATAAATGGATAATAAATTAATCCTATCATTATAAAGAATTTTATTTTTTCTAATATGTTATGAAAATCCATTTTATCACTTTTTTTTTTTTAATATATATAAATGAGCTCTTTAATCTGTTTTTTTTTAAAAAAATAATATTTACAGTATATTATATTAAAAAAAAAAATTGCACTTAATATAATAATTAAGATTTTATTTTGTTATTATAAATATTTTTGCTGCTTTTTATATAATACAAATTTAAATTGCATATTATATATTTGTAATTATGATAACCTTTGCGTTATATATATATATTATTTTTTTCAAAAAAAAATATGTAAAATAATTATCATATTCACATTTGATTTTTTATTAAAAAAAAAAATGTTTTGTTATTTAGTATATAAGATTTTGTTTAAAATTATAATCATACAAATATATTTGTTTATCTTCATATATTATCAAAATATACAAAAAAAAAAGTTTAAATTAAATTATCTTATAAAAAAACTTTAAAAATATAATTCTAATAAATAATTGATATCTTTTTATTTTCATTAAATTAAAAAATTTAAGAATAGATAATATTAGTTATTTGGTAAATTAAAATTAACATAGCTTTATATAATTAATTTAATATAAAATATGTATTCTTAATTAAAATATTAATATATCCATAGTTATTAAATGTTTTTGTAATAAAATTATTTATTAAATAAATTTTTTTATTTTATTATTAATATATATCTAATGATATTTAATTTAGAGTGAATATAAAATCTTTTTAATATTAACACATAAAATTATATAATATTATTGTGTTTAGAGATATATTGAGTCTAAAAAATATATTTTTTATTTGAATAAAATATATATTATAGGTTTTATAATATAATCACATTTTTTTTTTAAATGATTTAAAAAAATTTTAAAAATATAAAAAAAAATTATATAAAATTTTTATTTATAAATAAAAATATTTTATATATAATAATATTATTATTATATTATATAATGATATATATATATAGTTAATAAATAATTAAAATAAAAATTTTCTTTAAGTAAAATAAATTAAAATAAATATTTTTTTATATATATATATCATTCTATTTATTTTATATAATAACAATATAAACAATTAATTTTAAAAAATTATATAATTAGATATTTTTATTGAAAAATTTATTTTTTTATTATATATATATATATATATTTAATATTTATTTATTTATTATTTCTTATTTTTAATTAAAAAAAATTTTTGTTTTTTATAATTAATAGTTTATTTTATATTAACAAATGTATGAAAACATTTTATTTTTATTATTTTTATATTTATTCTTTTATTTCTTATTACGTTTGCATAATTTTTTTATTTCAATCATTCTTATTTTTTTTATATTAAATCTTTATTTTATTCATATTTAATTTATTATTTTAAATATTCTTTGAGTTATTTTGCTCTTTATTCTTGCTTAAGTTTTTCATATTATTATTAATCTACTTTAAAACATAATTTAGGCAAAAGTATAAAAAAAATAACTATACTGGCAATAATTAAATCATTCATTAAATTTTAATAATTTGATTCTTGCATTTACTTTTGTTTTTTTAATTTTAGATTTAAAATTAATTAATTATTTCTATTATATTTTATTTACAAAAAAATTGATTAACTGATAAAATTAATTTTAATTAATTAGTTTTTATATATCTATAATTAAAACACATTATTATCATGAGAAACATACATAAATCAATTGAACAAAAAGGTATTATAATTATATTAGTAAAATAAATAATTATATAAATATAAATATATATATATATATATATATTTATAATTATTTTTTTTATTATTTGTATAATTAAAATATTATTTTATTATTAAAATTAATTAATATTAAAAATAATTTTTATTTAAATTTCATCTATA